TGCATTACAAGCTTCTTTAAATCATTTAGCTCGATCGTTATCATACCAAGGTTCCCTACTTGCACCAAGAACGTCGTCACCAGCCATAGAAACAGCATCATTATACTTATGATACTACTACTGCTTTCACTTATTATAATAACTATCCCTACGCCAACACAACAAACACTAATGTCAGCAAATGGAGTGTATGCTCGGCACAATTTGTTTTGCGTGCAATTATAGGGGACATCGATCAAGTCAATGCCTCAGCATAAGACCAGAGCATAAAGATGGTAGTAGGTGTCTTATTTGTTTGAAACCTTCTCATATCGCAAACAACTGCGCATTCAAAGGACAGAGACCACGATTTTTAATAATAAATTCAAAGAGGATCGGTCCCTTGGGTCGCGCACGTACACACATTTTTTATTTGTATAAGATTGTTGTTAAATTTAATAACAAACGAAATCTGTGCGATTGATAAATAATGCTGTCCATTGATATATTAAATTGTGCAACAGATCGTGTTTGATCGCATATTTGTTTTCTAAAAAGAAATTCCCCAAACAATATTTCTCGTTGACCTTATATCAATTCATAAAAATTTATTTAGAATTTGGATTAATTTGTCTTCTTTAAATATCTTATAATTGATGAATAATATAATTAGTAAAGTAAAACAAAATAAATTACATTTATCAATTCAGAGTTCTTATACCTGGTTGGATCTTTGCCCAAAAAATATCTGGAATTTTACATACTATAATGAATTATTTGCCAATATTCCCAGAAATCCCTCTTACAACCCAACCCTTCTTTATCTTTTATCATATTCGAAATATCCATTTTACTGACATTTTAAAATCAGGAACATATAATTTTGATTAAAAAATTAAATGCTTTTAAAACTATCGAGATTTTTCTTGATCATCATAAAAATTGAACTCAAAATACAGCTTCCCACAAATTACACTTGCCAATAATCTTTTCTTTGTACTTTTTACCAAAGAACGTAGCAAAACTTCTCTGTACTGAATCACTTGTGATAAACCAGACAAAAACTCGTATATAGTTGAGGTTTTTTCAAAGGGAACACCTTCCTAATTTAGAAGAAAATTTAACTAGTAAACGTAAGATTAGCGGGAAAGATAAGCCAATAAAATAAATATAAACGTATTCATTGGCTCAATTTACAAGATTGATTGATTGTTAATATTAAGTGAATTATTTGCTTGCTCGATTAATTTACTAAATGGCCGACTTATATAGAATGAGTTTGGGTGTCAACTAAATCTTTTTTCTGACTTGATGATCCCTTGATTTTGAACCAGTTGAATTTTAACACGTGATGCAACTGACTTGCTTAATTAAGTAGGTCGAAAGTTGATCGTTTTTAGTGCGTGTAACGGAGGTAAGATAATTTTTAAAAATGGACATTCCCTCTGATACACTCAAAGAAGTTCTTCAAATGCCGAGTTATCACCAAATTCATTCAATTCCACAGAAAGAAATTCTCAACCATCTAATAATAGACTTCAGATAGATAACATCTATAACTTAAATGAATCACAAAAGACTGCTTTAGAGATAGCAAAAGCCTACATAAGAGAAATACAAACTGTGGTATGAATAGATCTTTCATGAAATCTGTTTTTTCAAATCAATAAAATTATCTTTAAATGATAATATTGATGGTAGCATTAGTATTAACAAGTATTAGCATTATTAGCATTAGTGATATCAAT